CCACTCTCTCTCTCTCTCTCTCTCTCTCTCTCTCTCTCTCTCTCTCTCTCTCTCTCTCTCTCTCTCTCTCCTGTCAGTCTCCCCGATTACCATTCTCTAGATACAACTAGTCAACAGTAGAAGATTCTTTGTTCGACTATCTCCCGCTGATCTCCACCCTAAACAATGTAGATGCGTGTAGGCCTATGTGGGGGTGGTGGTGGAGTTGTGTGCGTGTGTATGCGGGAGGAGGGGTGGAGGGTCGGGGGAGGGGAGGGGTTACAGAGGGTGATTTCTACATGGTATTCGGGAAGAAGCCCGCTTAACGCTTCACCAGCGACAGAGTCATAAATAGATAGGTTGTACTGGTCCAGTCCCCTACGATTCGACGTTGAATCGTTTCAGGTGTCGTGGTATACCAGCAGTTATTCTGTTCCAACTAGATGTCTCTTGCTGTTACAGCACAGGCAAAACACCTTCGTCGATAGGTCTGTATGATATGGGTTTTTTTAACTTTTTGAAGTCATAATCATCAGCTGCAACATCAGCATTGGCATCATCATCATCAGCAGCAGCAGCTGCAGCTGTAGCAAAACAACAACAACAACAACAACAACAACAACAACAACAACAACAACAACAACAACAACAGTAGCAGTGGAACGACCTCTATCAAAAACATTGAAATTTAATAATAACAGTAACCACAACATCACTGAAATAACGATGGCAAAAACAGTGCACTTAATGTATAATTTTAAAAAACAAAACGATAATGATTAAATCGATACCATCAACATAAGTTATTTCTACCGAACTTCTGACTTTCGAGTTATTACTCACCGTCAACATACCACGGGTGGTTGTACTTATAACAGCCTCGTACCCCCGTGAGCTGGTTGGTCGAATCCTTGCACACAGCTCGCCTCCACAGACCAAAGTCCCCGTCCGCGTCATCTGCCCAATAGGGCGAGGCAAACGACAGGATGTGCAGAATGACTGCAAGCAGTAGGGCCACACAGCCAATGAAAGGGATGGACGCTGCACCTAACACACCCGCCATCTTGATGACTTGGTGTTACCTGGGGAGATATAAAGTAGAGGGCGTGCTAAAAGTTTAGTTGAAGTCTCCATTCCGAACTTGCTTGGCCTACTGCGTATATCAGGGGTCTCCATTATCTGTGACATCAACACGGGGCTAGCCTTGACATCATGCACAAAAGACGATTTTATCCAATCTATGAAATTTAGTGAGACCTCAACTAGACTTATGGTGGAGGTTAAAGAACGAGCTACAAAGAACCGATTTAAGTCCGACTTAGGAAATACACAGATACGATAATGGTCATTAATTTGTTCAAGAAAAAAGCAAGACAAAAAGATGGAAACAACAGAAGTAGGAAACTGGATAAAATGAATCAAGGCCTTATAATTCTAATTGGATAATCATAACAAACATATTATTTTCTCATTCACTGACAGAGAGACAAATTTCAGAGCGTAAGTCTGTCTGTCTGTCTGTCTGTCTGTCTGTCTGTCTGTCTGTCTGTCTGTCTGTTT